AATAAGTTTAAAAAAAATAACTTATAAAATAATTAAACGGTAAATAATAAGTTACAAGTCCAAGTGTATGATCCCTTCCAACGTCCTAAATAGTAGGGATTGAGCACATTCCTCCATTCATTCCCTATAACTTAGGGATGCTAGCCACAAACAAACGTGGGTGGTCTGAAAGTGGGTCCAGCCACATGGAATAGTAGGGTTGAGCAACAGTTCCTCTCCATTCCCCATAAAACTAGAGTGCGACTATTAGCTACGAGAAACTGGTTTTGAGGGTACCATACATGAAATAAATATCAGCCATTAGATGTACTCTTTTGATCTGGGCATCCATTCAAAACTTTTTGTAACGGTTACAACCGGGTAAAATTTCAAACGCACTGTACCACTGCAAAGAAGGTGACGAATTAACTAAAATTCACAAAGATTCTGTGTATTTTTGAGAGGTAGAGTAGAAATGGCAGAGATTAATAATGAAGGATAATAATAAGGGATTAAATGAAAATTGTATTTATTTTGATGATAGTTTAGTGTAAGAAATTGTTTAAATTATTTTTATAAAAAAATTAAACAAATAAAAATATAAAAAATAAACATTATATTTTAAAAATCTCAATATATAAAAAATAAAAAATTGTTAATCCTCTCACTATTTTTCTAATATCACCCTCCACCTTCTCCTATCCCCAATCCCCCTTTCAACTTTTATCTTGTCCCCTTCCTCTATCTAATTCTCTTCCACTCTCAAACAAACACAAACACTAAGGTGCCGTTTGGTAACACTTACGTTTATCAGTTTTCTGTTTATATTTACAAAATTTTAAAAAACTCCAAATAAAAACTGTTTGGAAAATTTTGATTTATAAATCAGTGGTATCAGTTTATAAATTTGGCCCAAAATGAAACACAAAAAATGTGTTTCCGTTTGAGTTTTCAGTTTTTTTTTTTTTTTAAACCACCTAGCACTAACCACCACCCGCCATCATTCCACCATCGTCTTCCCACACCACCCACCCCCCCCAACCACCTGCCACCACCACCTCACCACCCACCTGCTACCACCACCCACCACCGCCACTACCACCCACTAGCCACCCACCAGCCCCACCTGCCACCCACTCGCTACCACCACCCACCCTCGCCACCACCCACCACCTGCATCACCCGACCATCACCACCACTACCATCCCACAAACGCCACCACCACCCGCCACCTACTTGCCACCACCATCACCACCCACCTGCCACCACCAGCCATGTCATCACTTGCACACCACCACCACCACCACCATCACTCACCCACCCACCCACACCACC